GAACAGCTGGAACATGAACAGCAGAGATCCCCCCAGAGATCAGGATCACTGCCACAGCTGGGTGAACAGCTGGAACATGAACAGCAGAGATCCCCACAGAGATCAGGGTCACTGCCACAGCTGGGTGAACAGCTGGAACATGAACAGCAGAGATCCCCACAGAGATCAGGATCACTGCCACAGCTGGGTTAACAGCTGGGGACAGAATGCAGAATTTTGGCCCGTGCTGTGTTGCAGCCCCAGACACGTGGGTTTGCTGGGAGCTGTGTGCAGGGGCAGTTCTCCCCCCACAGGGAGCACTCCTCTCTCTTAGCTGATCACTCCAAACCACTTCATTATCAACTTCCATAATTCTCACCTGCAATCACCTGAAAAATCAAAAATCTGTGACAACTTTTAGGAACCACCAGTGGAAAAGTGACTGACATTGACAATAGGTAGAAATTGGTTTGTAAATAATACTGAATTAATAATTTCCCTAAATAGCAGAAGAACTTTTTGTTGAGGTCTCAGTTCCTGGGTGTGTCCTGTGGTGCCATCTGTGGTTTTCAGGCAGCTGGATAATGCTCACAGTGAAACTGGAAATATTTCAAATTGTGTCCCAACAATTCCACCACATCTGAGCTCAAATAATCATAAAGGTTTCTTGTAAATGAATAGGTCAAGATGGGAAAGATGGAAATCTTCCTTTTAAAAATGTATTTTTATCAAACAAATAAATTACAAATTCTTTAATCAAGGTCATTTAGTTTACCAGGCAACTTTTCCAAACCACAGCAGTTTACAGGATACTCTGGATTTGTCTCCATGTTTTTATGTTCTGTCATAAGTGAATACTTTATACAAATGTTAAATTACATCATTTTTGCTGTGTGTCTGAATATCATAGGAGTGATTAGGGAGATAAATAAGATTTTTTTTTTCTGCTGAATCTTTTTACCATTTCTCCAAAACAACTGATTTCAGTTCCTTCTGATGTGTCCTTTGGACTTGGAAATACAGAATAGAATTTGGTGCATTTCCACCAACAGCTTTCAGGCTTACAAAATGTAATTTATATTTGAAATCAGATCATTTGAATTGTAGTATTGGATGTCTGGGTAGAAGCACTTGGTGCTTGTTTGGTGCTCAAGTATCCTTTCAAATGTGATTTTATGACATGAGATAATCTTGTGGATTTGGCCATGAAGTGAGTGAGACAAGGTTGAAAGTTTGGTCACTTCTTTGTGTCTCAGGGTTGAAGGAGTGAAACTTCTGTTCTCTTTAAACATCTCAGCCTAGAGATCTAATAATTCCTATTGATACAGGAATTAATGAAATGGAACTGGTCACTTGTTTATTTTGGGATCATGGGATGGTTTGGGTTGGAGGGACCTTAGAGATGATTTTATTCCAGCCCTGCCATGGCAGGGACACCTCCCACTGTCCTTTAAATATTGTCCAGCCTGGCCTTGGGCACTGCCAGGGATCCAGGGGCAGCCCCAGCTGCTGTGGGCACCCTGTGCCAGCCCTGCCCACCCCCAGGATGAAGAATTCCTTCCCAAAATCCCTGGATCCAAACTCCAGGCTTAAAGCTCCATGTGACTCCAGTCTCCAAGCACCAAATGCCCATTTCCTATAACATGGAAGAATCCACAATTCCTTGCTGCTCTTCCTGCCCAAGGAATGAGTTGATGTTTCTGAAATAGTTTTGCTGAGAAATTTTCTTTTTTTTTTTTTTGCCAGGCAAAAGCAGTGAGCCCCAGTGGGCTGGAGGTGTGCCAGTGCTGTGTGTGTGTGTGTCCTGTGGCTCTCAGTGCCTGTGTGTCAGTGCCAGTTATGTGCTTCACTTTCCCTCAGCAGATGAGTGTGCAGTGTCTCACTGAGTCACTGTTTGCAAAACAAAACCAGAGAGGAGAGCTGAGCATTTGATTTTTGATCTAATCCTTATTCCCTGCATGAGGAGTGTGCCTGGAATTGCAACTTGGGCACAGCTCTTGTGAATTATTCTTGTCTTTTGTTTTTCTGGAACTTCTAGAGTTCCAGAGTAAACTGCTTCTAGAGTAAATTGCCTGTTTTGGTCATAATTTTGGTCATAATTTGGTCATAATTTTCAGATTTTTTTTTAAAAAGCAAATACTTGGATGGGAAGTATCCCTACACATCATTGTAATCTGTGGTTCCAGGTAGGAGAGAGGTGGCAGCTTCCTCCCTTTGCCCAAAATCCCCCAGGATGGGCTGGGGAGAGGAATTGTCTGCCCAGGCCAGAGCTGGGGAAAGGGGAATGGGGAAAGGGGAGAGGGGAAAGGGGAATGGGGAAAAGGGGAAAGGGGAATGGGGAATGGGGAAAGGGGAAAGGGTTACTCTGGAGAAGCTCCAGGGAGCACAGAACTGCAGGGTCCTTCCCTCTGGGGTCACATGCTCTGCTTGTCCCAAGGGGAGAAGTTCAGATGGAAACCTTGGATTGTGATCCCTCAATATCCCAAATCCTTGTGTCTTTCTGTCAAAAAGGAACAATCTGGGCTAAAACATCTCCAATTCTACCATGGAGGGTTTTGTAGCAAATACTGTAAATAGTGAATATTGTATATAAGTGAGTATTTTGTATGTAGTGAATATTGCTGTGCTCTATGAAATTCTGTAATTCCCATCTACCATGATGAATGTGGCTGCTGTAACATCTCAAATCCTTGGTGCTCTGTTTGGATTTAAATACCAGGGTAACAATTTCTCTGCTTTTAAGGCAAGGCATTCCTTGTCCTGCACCCCAGGAATGAGCAAAGCCTTGGGGTGTTGAAGGTAACTTGTAAAATTAGTAATTAGTGGCTTGTCCTCATTTTTTTCTGTCTTCACTCAGAGTCAGGATTAAAAACACAAACAAATTTTATTGTGTTTGAGCATAATTGTTTATTAAATCTTATCTAAAGTACAGAGTTCTGCAGCACTTCTGGCTACCAGCTAAAAGCAAACAAAATAGAAGTGAATCAAGCTAGTTACAAGGTCTTTTAAAATTAAACAATCCAATTTAAAAATAAGTGAATCAAGCTAGTTACAAGGTCTTTTAAAATTAAACAATCCAATTTAAAAATAACACCTATATTATTTATACTTTTAACCCAATTACTAAACTCCCAATAACTAAACTCACAGTACAATACTGACTATCCAACCAAAAATTATTACTTAAAATCATGAAAAAAAAAACCCAAAACCAAAAGGAAACAACAGCCAAAATCCTCCATCTTATGTCATCCCTGTTACTGTATTGTAAAAACCCCAAATCCCAAACCCTTCCCCATGTGCAATCACACACTTCTATTGAACTCCACAGTCCTGATTTTAACTCCATCACTCCAATTTAAAAACTTTCTCCAAGTCCTCAAATCAAAACCATTATTCTCCTAAGAGTCAATATCAAAAAAAACCCCCACAAAAATATTTCTGAATTTCAGCGTTGTGTCTTTGGGATTGCAGCACAGGATGGGAGCAGGGCTGGAAATGCTTTGGTTGTTGAAATGTCAGAATTTCTTCAGCTGTTTTTGAGGGAGATGCTGCCTCTTCCTCCCCTCTTTGTTTCCTCCTGGCTGTCCCAAAAGTGATGTACATGGGATTTTTTTTCATCTCTAAAAATGCTCCATCCAGTGCCAGACTATAAACTAGGTTTGGGGTTTTTTTAACACAGAAAAACAGAAAAATCCTTTTACAGAGCACTGACCCAGCACATCAGCTTGGCTGGGAGGGAATAGTGTTAAAACGTCTGTGCAAAATAGAAATTTTTATTTAAATGTCTCTTAAATTCCAATTTCCCTGAGAACTGATTCTCTCTTTAATGATGCTGAGCTCAGTTTTCATTTAAAACTGAATTTAAAACTGAAGAGCATTAATGAAATAAAACTGAGACCTGGGTCACAAGGATCAGATTCCCTTTTGGAACTTTCATCCCTGTATCCTGTGGGTTTGAATCACTTCAATTTATTTCTTTTTCTCTCTTATGCAATTTTCTCATTTGGGTCAGTGCATGAGGAATTTTACATGAAAACTTCCTGTGCTTTGTAAATTGTGAATTTCTGAAAAACCATCCAAGTGCTTCCAAGGTTAACTGTTTCAATTTCACCTATACCATATTTTCATTAAAAAATACCAATTTTTGAAGTGAATTATTTTCAGTGAAAAAATCCTCAGTGGTTATTGGTAAATTTTCCCTTTTTCTACTGTAATGCTGAGGAGTCCAGATGAAAAATTCCAGGTTATGCAACGAAATTCCAGACAAAAGTTGGATTTGTGTTAATAGGTGTTAATGCAGAAAACAAATCTTGAGGAAAATATTACAGTATTATTATTATTATTATTAATATTCTAATTTTTATAGGATATTGAAGAAAAACTGACTTACATATGAATGAACACTCTCTGTCCCATGGTTCATCCCAAAGACATTCCTTAAGGATTTCAGTCTCCTGTCTAAACCAGCCCTGAATGTTCTTTAGTCAATCAGCACTAATTAACAAGTGAAGGTTATTAAGAGTTGCTGGTATGAGAGCTCAGAGGGCAGATTTGTGTATGGAATTTAATAATTCATTTAATAAATGAATTCCATAAACCAAATTAAACAGAAGTGACTGTTCAGATTAAGCTTTGTCCATTTTTCAGATTCCCATTTAAAGGTTTTCTGCTTTCCTAATTCTTTAATAGATAAAAATAGGAGAACAGTAGGTGGCTCACAGACCCTGGCAATGAACCTGAAACATCTGCATTTGGCAGGAGTGTGAGTTTGAGACATCCCCAAGCACTGGCAGGTGTTGTCCCCTCACAGGGAGCTCTTTGGAGCCAGTTCTGATTCCCAGAGTGGATGTTTACATCTCTTTGCCTTTTTTTTTTTTTTTTTTTTTTTAATCCAGGAGCTGAGAGAAATCCATAACAAACAGCAGCTCCAGAAGCAGAAGAGTTTGGAAGCTGAGAAGTTGAAACAGAAGGAACAGGAAAGGAAAACAGTGGAGCTGGAAAAGCAAAAAGAAGCTCAGAGGTAACAAATTGCTTTAATGGAGCCCCAAATATCCCATGGCATGTGCTGGGGAATATTCCTGTGTGCCCAAACCTTGCAGGGCTGCACTTGAGCTTTGTGTCCTCCAGTGCCACCCTAATGCCTGGGAAGTGGCTTGGTTGGACAGCAGCAGGAATTTCCCCATGGAAAAGGTGGGAAAAGCTGCCCAGGGAGCTTTGGGGTCCCCATCCCTGGAGGTGGCACCTGGAGGTGGCACTCAGGGTGCCAAGGTGGCCATGGGGCACAGCTGGGGCACAGCTGGGCTGGGAGGGCTTTGCCAGCCTCGGGGATTTGGAGATTCCATGAATTAGTTTTTTCCTCACACTGCTTTTAATCAGGAATTCACATTTCTGATCAAATTTCCAGGAATTCACGTTGGCCTTGGGCAAAGTTTGTTGTTGGTAGCACACCAAGTGTGTGAGGAGCTGCTGCTTTCAGGCCTTTGTCTCTAATTCTGAAGGATTTCCAGGGCTGGAATAAACCATGGAACACACTGGGCATCCTTCAGAGTTATCTGTTTCCAGCAGAGAATATTTATTCATTTCTTGATGTCTTGTCCTCTGGTGGAGGGGAAGGATTTGTTAATTCTGGAGGTTGGGAACAGGAAATATTCCCAGTAATTCTCTGGAGTGTTTTATAAACCTTGCAAATCCTTCTCCTCTTTTCCCCTCAACATGAGGATAAGGATGGCCACAGGTTCTGATTCCTGCTTTTCTCTTTCTGATTTGGCTGTTTGGACTCTTACCTTGGGTTGGATCTTTAAGGTCCCTTCCAACCCAAACCATTCCATGAGTTTGTGATTTCTGGGAATCATCCCCAGTGCAAGGAGATGCTGGGGAGTGGTTGATAACTCACCAAAATAAAGTTAGGGCATGGAAAAGTAAAGATCATGTGTTGATACAAGAACAATTTCCTAGAAACTGCAATGAGGTGCAAAAAACAGACAGTAACAACAACAATATTAATAACAAATAGTAAAATAAACTGAATTATTCACTGAAAAACTCCCTGATAATAGACAATATGAGATGTGTCCCTCTGCTACATTTTCTTGAAGAAATGCCTTCTCCCTGCAAGAGAGAATCCTTTCCTCCTGCCCCAGCAATAAGGTGAGGTGGATCTCAGCCATTCCCCTCCTGGCTGCTGCAGAAATGAACCCTGTCTTGTTTGGAGCCAGGACAGAAGAAAATTATTTTCTCAGATGTGCTGTTTCTAAGACTTTTATAAGGACAAATTACCATTAAAGACCAGAAAAACATCTGGCTTTAGGAGGGTTGTGTTTTGCTGGGAGATTTCCATAAGTTCTGTGCACTGAATTTGTTCTGTAGCTAAATATCCAATCCACTTTGTGCCATCAGGCTAGGCAAAGTTCATCAGCAATTAATTGATGTGAACAATTCTATAGAAATTGTTAAAAAATACTGCAGATTGTAATGATTTATAACAAATTATGATAGCATCTTCCTACCTGTTTTGGTGGCAATGATAAAAGTGTGCCAAACACATTTTTTGTTTGGCTAGGACAGCTAGAATGAAGTAAAAATATCTCTTATGAAAGGCATGAAAGCTCAATAAAATCCTCTATTAAATGAGCTGTACATCACACAGGGACAGGAAATCTCTCCCTCCCCTCTTACTTTCCTCTCCCCATCCCCCTGCCAGGTATAAACATTTGGCCTCAAATTAAATCCTTGGATTGATATCTATTAATTGGATTTATATCTATTAATCCTTGGATTAGCTCAGTATGTTTGGCAAGATTGAACACTTGGTAAGTGGAGATGACCCCAAACTTTTGGTGGCTTTGGTTTGGAGTGGCTCTGACCCCTCAATGTCCCCCAGGAGGGTCCAGGACAAAGCACGGCTGGAACGGGCACAGCCAGAGGAGGAACCACAGTGGCAAAAAAAACCCCAGGAAGATGACAAGCAAAAAAGGGAAGAGTTACCCAAGAAGAAGGAAAGTGAGGATAAGGGGAAGCAGGAGATGCAGGAGAAGCTGAACAAACTCTTCCAGCCCCACCAGGAGCCCAGCAAGCCTGGCCAGGCTCCATGGTCCAATGCAGGTAGGGTCCAGGAGCAGGGACTGCTCTGGGACAGCCCAGCTCTCCTTCCTTTCCCCATTTTACACAGAACAAAGTGCTCTTCAGGGCTGGGATGTGAGTCTTGTTAAAGTAAATAATGCATGGATTGTTGTGATTTATGTGTATTTAAAGTAAAAAAATGCACGGAGCTCCAGAGTGCAGAAATGGTTCTGTGAGACATCACTGTTCCTGCCAGGGTGTTCAACAGAGGGGAAGCACAGCCCTGAGACTGCAGGGGAGGGGAATCTCAGCTGGGAGGGAAAATCTGAGCTGGGAGGGGAAAATCTGAACTGGAAGGAGGAATCTCAGCTGAAGGAATCTGAGCTGGAAGGGGAAATCTCAGCTGGAAGGAGAAATCTCAGCTGGAAGGAGGAATCTGAGCTGGAAGGGGAATTTCAGCTGAAGGAATCTCAGCTGGAAGGGGAATCTGAGCTGGAAGGGAAGTCTCAACTAGAAGGGAAAATCTGAGCTGAAGGGGGAATAGCTGGAAGGAGGAATCTGAGCTGGAAGGGGAATCTCAGCTGGAAGAGGAATCTCAGTTGGAAAGGGAATCTCAGCTGGAAGGGGAATCTCATCTGGAGGGAAAATCTGAGCTGAAGGGGAATCTGAGCTGAAGGGAAATCTCAGCTGGAAGGGGAATCTGAGCTGAAGGAATCTCAGCTGAAGGGAAATCTCAGCTGAAGGGGCTGCATACATACAAGATGTCAAAATTTCCATGTTTTTATTTTGGTGTGGGAGACACGCTTTGGGATTTTTCAGAGCAGGAACAATATGTTGTTTAGTCACCCTTTTCCTTTCCTGCCTTCTTTTGTTCATTGGACAAACGACCTGAAATCCAAGGTTTAATCCCCCTTTTTCTGCTCTCACAGTCACTTTGTGCTGAGAGCTTTTTCCATGCATTGTATCCTGATTTTTGCCTGTATTGGGAATTCTGCTTCCCTCTTAAGTGGCTTGGATACACATGAGAACTGTTTGGGAATGTAAAACTGGTTTAAATATTTGTCCAAAGGATTCCATCATTTTTATGACTAAATCCTGCCCAGAGGGGCTGTGGATTCCCAGTTCCTGAAGTGTCCCAGGCCAGGTTGGACACTGGGACAGTGGGAGGTGTCCCTGCCCTGGCACTGGGTGGGATTTAAGGTCCCTCCCAACCCAGGCCATTCTGTGTTTCTATGATTTTTCCCTGCTGTTTAGAGGAGAAAAGAATTTTAAAAATGATACTTAAATAATCAATTTTTATATTTCCTTTGTGTAAAAAGGGGACAAGGTACTTCTGCAGACCCTGCCAGGTTTGGTGATTCCTGTCTCCACTTCCACCTCATTTTCCCATGTTTAAAAATCAGCTGGTTTGATTTCTTCTCTCTGTATCTGTGTGTTTGTTTCCTTTGCTCAGAGAAAGCTCCTCTAACCATTTCTGCTCAGGAGGATGTAAAAATAGTGTATTACAGAGCTCTGTATCCTTTTGAATCCAGAAGCCACGACGAGATCACCATCCAGCCTGGAGACATTGTCATGGTAAGCAGGGATTGGCATTTTCCTTGGCAAATCCTTCAGCTTCTGCCATGGCTGATTCCAGTTGTGTTTGGCAAGAAAGGAAACTTCAAATCCTAAAAAAATGTGGTTGCAAGTGTGTTGATAGAAAATAATTTGCAGTTTTTCAGGGATGGGGTCAGTGTGTTGTGTCAAATTCTGAAGTGAGGTTTGATTTTGTGTCTCTAAATTATAATTCCCTGGTTAATGGCTGCAGGGATTAAGTGGGTATTAATACTAATTAATCATTAGTATGTTCTTAATATGCAGAATGAAAATTCCTGGGGGAATTCTTAAATATTTTTCACTGGGAGAAGTGTATTCCCAGCAATGTTCTACCCAACAGAATTGATTTTAAGAGCTTTTACATTTTAGCTCAGTTTAGTAACAGTGGATTTTGGAAAAATACACTTTATAGACTCCCCTAAATTATAATTATTATTATTTTTTTAAAAACCTACTCTGGGAAATTGAACCTTTTGGAGTTGGTTGGGCTGTTTATTTATTAGGTGTTTGTGACCTTGGAATGGGCTTCTGGAAATTCCAAAGTGAATCCTGGCTCAGTGTCACTGTTGGAACTCTGAGTGAGGATACAAAAGTTTGTAAAGCTGCAGCAGGAAATGCTGAAATGTTGGAGAGGAGACTCTGGAGGCTGCTGGGAAATGCTTGTTTTCCTGGGAAATAGGGTTTACAGGTCATTCTGTGGGCAAGGCTGATCACTCTTAGGCAGACTTGCTGGAAAAATCACAATTTTTCTCAAAAGTCTTGATTTTAAGAAGCATTTAACACATTTTTAAATAGAGATTTGCAGTGAAAATAACATTTTTCCTCAAAAAATCTGTGCTTCTAGGCAGTTCTGCACATATTTATCCCTGTTATTGCAGGGAAAAGAACATTTTTCCTCAAATGTGTGATTCTGAGGAGGGCTGAAATAATTTTTAAAGAGAGATTTGCAAGGAAATAAAAACTTTCCCCTAAAATATGTGATTCTAAAGAGCACTACACATGTTTTCAATAAAGACTTTGAGACCATCTAAGTTCTCTGTTGCTTTTTGGACTCGATTTTAACCCTCTCAGCCCCAGCAGGGTCACTCCTCTCTGTAGCTTTTATTTAAATTGTTTTGCCCATTATCAAAGCAGGGTCCTGGGGGCTGTGCTGGCCTGCAGGAAAGGTTTAAGGGGCTGCTGTGGTCAGTGCTGTAACCCTGCCTTGCTTTGCATCCCTGCTTGCCCTGGAGGTGAAAAGGGTAAGTGCAGCCAGGGAAGCTCCATCCCATCCCCAGAATTGGTTCCCTGGCTTTTGAACCCACCAGGGCTCGAATTAACAAACCCCAGCTCGTTATCAAAAGTAATTCCCACACCCTGGAGCAGGGTTTGCTTTTGATGCTGCCTTTGGCTCCTCCCTCAGCCCTCCTGTGTTTGTCCTGTGCTTCCAAAGGTCCCACTGGTGCTTTTCCTTGGGAAAGAGCAATTTGCAGGCTCAGGGTTAAGGTGAGGTGACATCAGGGCAGCTGATGAAATCCCTGCTCCTTGGTTGGAGAGCTGTCCTCACACAAAGGGAGATTCCCCACCCTGGAACTCAAAATTCTCACCCATTTCAGATCAGTGGTCCTGGCATGGAGGGAAAGAGGTGGCACCCAGAGAGCTGGGCTGGATCCCAGTCCTGGATGGAGTCCTGGATGGGATCCTGGATGGAATGGGGCTGGAATCCTGGGGTGGATCCCAGTTCTGGAATCCTGGCTGGAATCCTGGATGGAATTCTGGCTGGAATCCTGGGCTGAAATATTGGCTGGAATCCTGGGCTAGATCCCAGTGCTGGGATCCTGGGCTGGAATTCTGGGCTGGAATATTGGCTGGAATCTTGGATGGAATCCTGAATGGAATCCTGGATGGAATCTTGGCTGGAATCCTGAGCTGGATCCCAGTCCTGGAATCCTGAGCTGGAATATTGGATGGAACCCTGGACTGGAATCCTGGATGGAGTCCTGAGCTGGAATCCTGGGCTGAAATATTGGATGGAATCTGGGCTGGATCCCAGTCATGGAATCCTGGCTGGAATCCTGGGCTGGAATGGGGCTGGAATCCAAGCACACAATTCAGGAGTTGTCAGCTGTGGCTCTAAAGTACACTTGAATAAATAAAAACGATCTCCCACACGCTGTAATTCACTACTCAGGTGTACATTTAAAATCTGGTTGTATTTTGGAAAAAAAGAATCTGGGATTGTTGTTGGGACTTGTGGATGGTGGGTGTAAAAATTTAAGGAAATTGAAACAAAATAGCTTAAAAAAGATTCTTAGGAATTTATTTAAACTTTCAGTATGGTTCTGCAAAACCAGATGTGACTTTTGTTTTGGATGAAGAAGAAACCAGAGCTGATGTGAATTATGAAGTTTAAATTTTCCTTCAAAGTGCCCTTTCAGGAGTGTACATAGAAAACTTAATTGGGTTAATAAGCAGAGATGTCCAAGGCAGTTTTAGAATTATTGCAGCTTCAAATCCTCTCCTGAAGAGGCTTTCACTGGATGGGTCCAAAACCTTTTGGTTGAGTTTGTTTTCCTTCTGCCTGGAGAATCCCAGTGGTTTCTCTGAGCCTGTGTGTCCCCTCAAAGCTGCTCCTTTTAGAGCATCTCCACATCCCCCATTTGCCTTTGCAGTGTCCTCTGTGCCCTCTGTGTGTGGTGATTGCAGTTCCTGCCCCGTGGGGTGGCTGCTCCCTGTGTGGATGATACTTTAATCCCTGGAGCTTTCATCCCTGTGTTCATCCTGCTCCACCCTCAGCTCTGCCCTTCCCTGTCCCATCCTGCTGCTTTCCCATCTCTGCTGCGCTGAAATTTTGCTCTGCACTGCAGGAAAAGCACATGGAGCAGGTCAAGCAGAAAGTGCTTTTATTTCTGGGATTGTCTTGGGCTGCCAAGGGCTGAGAGAGGAGGAGGGGGGACCCAAAACCTGCAGGAATGAGGGATTGGTTTGCACCAGAAGGGGAGAGTGGATGCAAATTCCAGTGGGAGGCACAGAGTCAGCAAATGTCCCAGGCAAGGGAATTTGTCAGCAGCAGGGACAGGGATCCATCCATGGCAGCAGGAAAGGGATTGGGATTGGGATTGGGATTGGGATTGTGTCCCTGTGCCCCCTCAGGTGTGACCCCACCTGCAGAGCTGCCCCA